AACCCCCAATGCCATTTAAATATTTTGGGGTGATGCTTACCCTTGCTTGGGGGTGAAAGTGGCGGAGTCAAAAATACCAGCAAAGAATGTCCCCCTTTAATCTAAAATCGACGGGTCTGAGCGTTTTTCTACAATCTTGACGCAGTTCCTGAAAATGGCTCTGTTTCGTTTTCATTTGGCCACCCTGTATATTTTATTTCCGAGTTCTCAAAAGATATTTAAACCAAATTTACACAGACGGTACATGGATGGAGAACCAAAAGAGGGAATGAGATTAAGTTTCTAACTCTGTCAGTGGCGGAGTTATGGGTAATCGACGACATTACTTCAGCAAAAAAAGTGATACGGACCTGTGTAAAATTAAACAAAATATCGTTTTTCGATTAGATGGACTATTTAATTCTAAACAAGAGATGGTAGATGGTTGCCCTGCACATCCTTTTAGAGGTGTGAGGGACTAGTTTGATACAAATTATTATAATAGGTAGGATAAGATGGGCCTGTAGCATGACAACCACGTTGTCCAGACCTTACACGCATCAACTTATTTGAATGGGATTACATCAAAAATAAAGTTTATGGCACGCCAATGGACACTCGCGAAGGATTAAGATAGTAAATTCAAAATCTGAAATCTTATCACAAGAAATCGCACTTTAAGATAATGATAGAACAAGAAAGTCCATCCAAAATGTGGAAATACGAAGATCCCTTGAATTTTTCGCAGTGAAAGATCACGGCAAACAAGTGTTTCATAAAAGCTTTATGCGGGGTGTGATCACAGACGTGCGATGTTATATGTTATGTTTATAATTTTCTGTATGTTCAACAGGCGTGCAAAATTCAAGAAATATAAGAAAAACATACGAGGTTCTAGATATAAAACACCCCAATGTTTACAATGATTATTTTCTCTCTCTTGAACTGTATTTTGAGATGTGTAGGTCAGTTTTTTCTTTCTTATGAACGCCATATTAGTTTTATACAGGGTGTCCGGTAACTACGGGGAAAAATAAAGGGTTATATAGAGCCGGTCAAAAGAGTGCTAGTACTTCATATAAACTTTTTACCTAGGTGCCATTGTTGAGGAGTTATTGTCACTCAAAGTAAGAAGTTGAAAAATGAATATTGCCCATAATATTTCTAAAGAGTTACTATGATTAACTTGAAATTTGAGGGATCAATTTTTTATTGTAAAAAGACGGTCGAAACTATGTTCTAAAATTTACGCAACTTTGACAGAGCTGTCAAATTTGACATTTCGCCCTCGCAGGCTGATAGCCCTGTTACTTTTCTATAAAAAAGGTATACTTCATGACTTATGAAAAAATGAACAGTTGTCAAGATAATGAAATTTTTGTATTTTGTGCATAGCCACAACCGGGGACACAACGCAACAGAAAAAAGTTAAGAATGAAACATATGGATTAAAAGATTCAGTAAATGCTCGATATGTTCTCCATCTAGTTCAATGCACTTCCTTATTCTTTTAAGATTATTTTGTTGCACTCTAAATAGCATTTGTGGATTCTGTTTAATTTCATTACAATGATGCCATCAACTCTTCTCTTGTATAAACCGAAATTGAATACACCAATTTTTTAGGTAACCCCACAGGAAGAAGTCAAGGGGGTTAAGACCTGGTGACCTAGGTGCCCATAAGTGTGGTCTGCCTCGCCCAATCCACCTATCACCAAATGTTACGTTGAGGCAATTTCTAACTTCACGACTGAAGTGGGGCGGTGTCCCATCATGCATGAAATACATCTCTTGTCTTGTTTGCAATGGTACATTTTCTAGTAGTAGATGTTGTAAAAAAATTAAATATCGGGCACCGTTTAATCTATCCGGTAAGAAAAAGGGGCCTATTAATTGGTTACCGATTACTCCTGCCCATTACATTAACTATGAATCTTTGCTGGTGTTTGCCTTGAATGACTAAATATATACACAAAACACAAAATACAAAAATTTCATTATCTTGACAACCGTTAATTTTTTCAGAAGTCATGAGGTATACCTTTTTTATAGAAAAGTAACAGGGCTATCAGCCTGCGAGGGCGAAATGTTAAATTTGACAGCTCTGTCAAATTTGCGTAAATTTTAGAACATAATTTCGACCGTCCTTGTATAATAAAATATATTTGATTCAATTTTAAATGTACAAAGATACATTTGAATGAGTTGCTTTGATCCCCCAAATTTCAAGTTAATCAAAATAACCCTTTAGAAATTATGGGCAATATTCATTTTTCAACTTCTTACTTTGAGTGACAATAACTCCTCAACAATGGCACCTAGGTAAAAAGTTTATATGAAGTACTAGCACTCTTTTGACCTGCTCTATATAACCCTTTAATTTTTCCCCGTAGTTACCGGACACCCTGTATGTACATGATTAAATAATTAAAAAAAAAACGAGAAAAAGAAATTGCGACTCCTGACATCTTAGATGCATCTCTTTAAATTAATTTTAACCTACCCTGTACGATCCTAACTGCAATGTAATCCTAACAAAAAATTTCATAAAAATCTGCCACTGTAATTTTTGTCAATATTTAAGATCATGAAATACCAATATGGCATCTATAAGAAAAAAAATCATATATCAAAACCGGCGAAAGAATTCATTTAAGGAAATGGTTACATATCCAGTAAAAAAATTCTACATTCATGAACTAGCCTGCTTTTGTCGACCGAGGCTAACAAGCTAACAAGGCCGTAAAACTGCGAATTTTGACCGAGGTATAAGTATATTAAATTTTTTCAGCGTCCTTAATAATTTAGCTACGCTTCGTTAATCAACACCCGAGTCAATATCTCTGCTTAGTGTCACTTTTTAGGTGTCATATTATTTTAGGAACGTATTTACTTTACGACTACTTTTACTTCACGGATGGCATAATAGCCAGTAGCACTCGTGTTTTCAAGATTAGGTACGCGTTTTAAGTACCTACCTGACATGATACGCAAAGACATTTTCCGCGACATTTCTTGTCGAGAAATTCATATAGTTGCGAATGCGGGTGCCAATTTGCGAATATTTTTCTAACCGGAATTATTTCTTATTTAGATAGTAGGTATGTCAGGAAAAGTTTCAGCAAAATATTTTTTGTATGAGCTAACTATATTTCTAATAGTTTCATTAAACTGTTCCATATCGGCATAATTCCGATTTTCTTTGGTTTTGCAAAAGAAAAAAACTATGGGAATTACTTTTCATATGGGGATGGGATTCTTACGCCCAAAACGCTTCTTGCGTACGCCACTGATGTGACCAAGCTACGGCACGTTCACACTCTATTTTCAAAATGTGTGCAAACGTCTGAATGTGTCTGAATCTGAAAACGTTTAAAATCAAAGAATTTTCCTTTTATGGGACATCTGCATGTAGTTATTTGCGATAAAACCATCATCACTTCTAAACTTGTATCAGAGAATAGTTCACTAAATCTCGGTCGTTGACTCTAGCTAGATGTATTGGATGTTGGATGTATTCAGGAATTAATTCTGAAAGAGACTACACCCACTCGCATAGGTATAAAACAGGCTAGTGGTCACTGAACAATACATTAAATATTAAATAAAAAAAAAAGTTAAATAAAATAAAAAAAACGTTGAGCAAGAAGCTGCGTGTAGCTAAGCAATCGAGTAAGTAATAGAAAAGATAAAAATGTGAGTCAAGACTCGTCAGGACTTCGTTTTATCTTATAATCTTATAATTAATCTTATAATCTTAACATACATATATACACCCATTTCAATTATTTTTAAGGAAATGATTACTTTCAAACTTTTACTTTTTGTTGGGACACTCTGTATATAAGTGGCAAACCCTCCTTTTTGATAAAAAAAATAAGTACAATAATGTAAAAAACAAAAGCTACTATATTTGGGAATATATTTAAAATAGTTCACTCGATCGTCACTTACATACTTTTTTAAGTTTAATAAACTGATTTAGAAACAACATACAAGTACATTTCGAAAAATAATACATAAAACAGGTAAACATAACCTATATAAACATAAAAATAGTTATAAAAAAACTTACGTTACATATGTTTAACAATTTTTCCAAAATCTGAAACTAAAATCCAAATTTCTACACAAATTATTTAAACAACCAACATAAATACCACCGCACTGAATACCTACGAGCGATACCGAAGAAAATTATTAAAATTGTTCTACAGTTCACATGCAACTACCAACTAACTTCTGTTTCTGTTAAACGCAACGTAACGTAAATTCCAACAGTTCCGGTAATGCATATACATAATCACAATAGTGACATTAATGACAGTGACAGTACTGACAGTGACACTAGCAAAATATTTTTATTTTTCAACTTGAATCAGTGTCAGCAATAGAGATTTAGTTGAAAATTGAAAGAGGAAAGTCAAGATTTTAGGGTATTTCACTTTCTTTCATTGGCGATCGATAATTTACAAGGGTGTCGTTGAACGTTGAATAAATAATGCTATTTTGTCAAACTTGACGTCTAAACAATGTATGTTATTTTATGAAAATAGTGTAAAAATATCATGGAAGAATGTATGATTTCCTGAGGCCTATTGTATATTTCTATCTATTCTTAGCTACTGTTAATGGTAATATTTATGACACATTTGAGGGTAACTTGTGTTTAACTATTTCTTTTCTGCAGGTCAAAACTTTACACAAGTAGCAGTAAATATAGGACGCAATTTAACGTTAAAATGTCCAGTTCATCATACCAGTGGTATAATGTGGATAAGAGAGGATGGCAAAACTCTGCCTACCCATGTGACAGTTCTAGACAGTGGTTCATTATTTATTACAGAAGTTGACCGAAACGACTCAGGAATTTATGCATGTATCAGAGAAAACGTCGTCAATTCGGATGCAAGAATTAATGTAACAGTAAAAAGTAAGTATTTTAAAACTAGCAATAAAACTGTTAGAATTAATTATATGTTTTAATTAATGCCAGTTATATACATTGCACCTAATTTATGTGTGATTGGTGCATTTAAAATTCACTATGGTTTGTTTCATCTACACACAGCTTCGTAGCTAGGGGCTGGCCGTAGGGGCGGCTGCCAGGAGCGCAAACTTTAAAGGGGCGCACTCGCAGTTATTGTATTGCTTCTCTTCCTACAAACTAAGTTTTGGGAGGTGCAAAATTCAAATCTTGCCCTGGCCACTCATGGCCTTAGCTACGACACTGTCTACACAGCACAAATATATGTGCAAACCAAAGAACTTATCATCTATATGTTAAATAAATCTACAATTTGATTTCTGCAAGTAAATCGTTTAGACTTATTGTTACGTATGTATCTGGCATAAGAGAATCAAAGTTCAGACATTTAAAAGTATTAAAATACCTAGAAACTGCATTTCTTTTAGTTACGTTTGTCTCATATTGTTTCTTATACAGGTTATTTGATTATTAATTTTCTTGTGGTTTTGCATAATTTTGGAAATTCTAGTATACCTACTTAATTATATATATTAGGGTGCTTCATTTGAAATGTAAATTCTTGAAAAGTGAAACCATTCAAGTCACATAGATTCTACTATGGACACTTTCAAAGAACAAAGATTCCTCTATAATTATCGCCTGTGGGCAATAAAATAACAAAATTCAGCTGAGATACAGATAATTTAAAAAAAGATGTAAGTGTACATGTTAAATGAATAGGAAGATTTTAAAATCAAATAGTGAGTACTTAATATTAAAATTAATAGTGAGATTGGTGAGATTTTTTTTTCAATGTTTAAAACAATATTTCGTCAATGGAGTAAAAAAAAAATGTAGGTTTCAAACGAAACCCTAATATACAAGGTGTTTACGGTCTTGTGATTTTATTTTCAAGGGGTGATTAAACATCTTAATAGATCATCATTAACCTTAAAATGTATTCACAAAAGTTTTATAATAAGAGATTTTACTGTTAAAAATTTTGTTTAGTTCTTATTTTTTTATTTTTAAGGGGTGATTAGGCTCCTTACAAAAGGTTATTAAGGCTAAAACGGTTGATCAACAACTTATTCAAAGTAATTATAAATTCAAATGATAAGTTATTAGTGAATTTTTTACTAAGTAGGCTAATGTCAGTAGCTATTCCCATCTGTCAAGCTATTTCATCAATTGTCACTGGACTATTGGTTTGACATAAATTCCTCCAAATAAATCCTAATAAGCAAAGTAAATAAGTGGATTGGTCGAGGTCGTCCTGTTCCATGGCCTCCTCGCTCACCTGACCTTAATCCCTGTGATTTCTATTTATGAAGCGTTATGAAGACCATAGTATGCACCAACAAAATAATGGATTTAGATGATCTTCGTAACCGCGTTGAGGCAGCTGCTAAGACAATTCGACAGCAAGTCAAGGCCTAGTAAATTATGCCAATTAATGGATATGTCGAGAGAGACTTCAACAACATGGCAATAACTTTGAACAATTATTGTAAAGTGAACATCATGAAAAAATAAAAAAATTGTTTAATTGAATAAAAATAAAAAAAAATTAACAGTAATATCTCTCTTATTATGCAACTTTTTTAATAAATAACAAATAAAAAAAATATAAACTAAAAAAAAACAAAATTTGATATTAATTATCTCTTTTATTATGCAACTTTTAGGGTTAATGATGATCTTTTAAGATGTTTAATCACCCCTTGAAAATAAAATGGGAAAAAGCCAGAAAAAAACGGCTGATATAGTGTGCCCCACGATTGTGTCCTAAAGAAGAACTTGTTTATTTGTAAATTTATGAAGAAATATAATTTTTTATAAAAATTCTCTGCAATACTTTGGTAGTGAGTCTGTTACATTATGAGCATAAGGCAGACAAGCTAACTGCTGATCTTTATTCAGTTTGTCACATTTGATTTCCTCTGTAGTGGTCTTAGAACCATCAACAAAAACCAAAATCAATATCAGGATTAGCCTAGGAGTTCTGATAGCGGGTCCGCCCCTGCAAAACTTACCAGTTAAGACTAAGGAAGTGCATAGTAACTGGTGGCGATCAAGTATATATGCCACGGCACCCAAAACACATGATACTTTATAAGACCATGGCCTCGTACGTCTTACATACCTACAAAGAAAATAATTTTATTGGGTCTGGCAAGTCCTACTTAAGTAATATATTTATTTTTTAATCAAGAATCATTTCCAAAATTAGGTTTTAAAATTAATTAGATTAGATGTTTTATTTTGTTTTGAGACAATTACAAATTGTATAACAATAGTCAGTTATGCGTATAGCAGATATTTAAATTAAAAATAAATTTAACTTAACCTAGGAAGCAAAAAACTCTCCCAAGGAATAAAAACATTTGGTCACTAAATATAATTTTAACTTTACTTTAAATTGATAAAAAGATATTTTATCTTGTCTTAAATCAATAGGTAATTTATTAAACATTTTAGGCCCCAAATAATTTGATGACTTATTGGTAATTGACAATTTAGAAAAAGGTACCCGAATATTATTTTTATGCCTTGTATTTACACCATGTATGTCACTACTTAAATAAAATTTTTGCCTATTTTTAAAAACATAAATACACATGTCAAATATAAATAACGAACTTAAAGTTAAAATTTTGTATTGTTTAAAAATGTAATGTAATAATCATACAAATATTTTGAGGTCTCTCCTAAATAGGTGTAAATAAAAATTTGTGTGTACTTGTCTTTGCTTGGGGTTATATCGCTCTTCTGTTTTATTGTTCTGTGCAATTCACCAAACGCAAACGATCTTAACAAAATATCTTAAGAGTTAGTCCAATCTAAAATCTCTAAGAGATAGGTGTTAGTTTGTTAAAAAGTTCTTTCTGTCATTCTCCACTCTCACCTTCTCTTTTTTCTTTATATATATATATATTTTTTTATGGCTGGTTCAAATGCTTAAGTTGTTGCTAAACTGTTTTTATGTAATCTTGAGCATCATGATCACCAACTTTCTGTTTTGGCATCGTTTATTGTTTTTTCGACAACGTTACGTTTGTAATCTCTAAATTAGGATTATTTTTTTTTACTTAAGACTTCGTTTTTCAGTGTTATTTTGTATTATCATTCCATCTTTATTCACAATTTCTGATCTACAATTCAATGACGTATTACTGTTCATCTATTGTCTACTTATCAAAGAAAACAGAAAAGAGGAAAAAAAACAATAAAAATTAACTAATTCCTTAATTGATTGTTTAATTTACCACAGAGATCTAAAGTTTTATTTTCAGCATATACAAAAAAGAGGTCGACATTGAGTGCTTGTATGAGTGAAGATCTGTTGTGTATTTTTATGTTCACAAAGTTACCTGCTCTAATGTATATGTATTTAATATTGTGTTTTCTCGTGGCTGGTCAAAGTACTAATTATATTTGATACTAAATTGATCCTATTTTGTTTAGAAATTTCTGCTTTTGCATTTGTTTGTTTTTCTTTTCAATTATTTGTCTATGATCTATACCACTGAAGTACCCATCACCAATTTACAGTAAATTATTCAGTACAGTATTCATTATTACTAAACCCTTTCTAATCACTACACTACATTCATACACTTCTTATCACCTGCTTGAAAAAAAATTGCCTTTTTCAAGTTAAATTACTTTGTGCTTAATTTGACATATAACTGTGATTATAAAACTAATATATGAATACTAACAATTTGGTGATAGTTCGTGTGACAAATCCATATGTAATTTTATTATTTTAAGTAAACCGCTATTATGCGGGATACAAATAACAGTGAAGGTTTTAAGCAGGGAGACTAGACAAGGAGCACGAACTCGTATGGTAAAATTGACAAAATTTGTCAATGTAATAGCAGAAATTACCACTAGGGTCGCTAGTGTTCATTGTACACCGACATATTTTCATTATTTATTGATTTGTTTATCTGATTCAAAGTACCCTACATTATTTATTTTAAAATTTTTAATACATCAGAAAAAGGGCATGATTTGATTTTTAATTCAAACTGCCGCTTTCTTTATCTCTCCTCCACTATTTCGGTGCATGTGGGGCACTAGGGCCCTCTAATTTGGTAAGATAGTTGTTTACAGTTTACAGTTTACAGTACAGAGTTGGAGTGGTCCTTGTGTAGTCTCCATGGTTTTAAGTCATAGATGGCAAGAGAGGGATGTAAGTAGTAGTAAGAGTGGTTTAAAGCACACGGAAATGGTAATAATTGTAATTTCTTTCACTATTACTATGGCACATAGTTTTTTGAGATATATTTCTCAGAATTTTATGATTCTGGCATTTATCCATATTGTTAACGTATAAAACCTAAAAAAAGTGAATACGCTTACAATTTTTACTTCATGTAACTTTGTATTTACAGATTTATTGTAACATTTATAAAATTACATTGTTTTTAATATTGACAATAAGATCTTTATATCAAATAATAGTTTCCATAAATTTGAAACCAATTTTTTCACCAGTTAAATTTAATTATCTGATAGATCTATTAGATAAAAATCATTAAATTGAATCATATTCTTAAGTTTAATAACTGATATATGATTTATTACACCATATAATAATTCAACGTTTGGAAAATCTGAAGTATGTATGTTTTGTGGAATCCAGTTTTTCAGAACAGGAATTATACTGGGATTTTGTAATAAAAAATTTTAATCCCGGGATTTAGATTTCATACTAGGTTCATAATCTGTTTGAAGGTCACTGGGATTTGGTTTAATACGATAAATAAAAAAATCAAATGCAACAATTTTATTTCGGGATTACTTTTAGATTTCCCCAGGGTTTTAGTCATGCAAAATGTCCAGAATCCTTAAAATTTTATAAATTCTGGGATCCGAGATTGAAGTTTTTAATATGTATATACAGGGTCTAAGAAGTTTGACTGCCACTACTTCAGCATGAGATGGAGTAATCATAAATGAACAAAAAAGTTGTATATTACAGGGGCGTAAGATTAACAGTTTTCAAAATACAGCGAGTATTAATATTGGGGAGTTTCATCACAACGTGACACAGCGTTTAACCTAATGCTACATAGCTGATGCATTCCACGTGTGCACGCGCTTTTAATCAAATTATGAATTTGAAAAATATGTAATTAAAGTACCCAAAGATTCACGTCATCCAAATAATCATATGTATTAAAAATAATTTAGGTACTTACCAAAAAGCAAAATTCAGTAAATTTTAAACGTACAAGTACAAAACAAACTACAACATATGCTCAAAATGTCCATCACCATTTTTGATGCACGCACGACACCTTCGAATCCAATTTTCGCGCACGCACTGGAAAACATCTCAAGAAAATGAAATAGTGGTACGGAAAAAACACACACACGGTCCAATTCCAGATACCAACTGAATTGCGTAATGCTGGACAGCTTAGTACCTCGTGTTATCCGCCGCGCCGTTGTCACACTGCTATATATGAATTTTATCGAATTTTAAATTTATTACAACGCTAATTATTTTTTAGAATTAAGCAAAAAGAAGTTCAAAAAAGTGATAAACATTGTATTTTATGGTATTCTATGCATGCAGTTATGTCAGTATTCCTTAATTAATTGAACTTTTGTACATCAGGAGATTTTGATAATTTTTTTCTTGAAAATGGTTGAGTTTACGACCCATGTCATATAAAGTTTTTTTGTTTATTTTAATCTATTCTATCGTCTGTTAAAATTAAGGCAGTCAAACTTCTAACACCCTGTAATAATAGATAGTAGAGATGAAATTTTGTACACATAATCATAGTTTGGGTAATAAGTTATCACTATAATTTGTAAATTGTTACCAAAAAGTGGACTAGAAGAACTTTGAATATATTTTCGTTTAATAGCAGTAAAAAAACCTTGTTTAAGGATTTACTTTACAGTGTAAATCCTCTCATACTGCTAAAAATGGTTTTCTAGCTCCTCCACCTGCATTAGTTGATGTTGTCGTAAGACCTAGTACTGTACTTGCTCTTCTTATATGGAAAGTTGGGGGTGATGGAGGTTACCCTATTATTAATTTTACTGCTCAGTACCGCTTAGCCTACGCAAATGAAAATTGGACAGCTATTTCGCCTAATCATATCACCCCTAATTCTGTAAGTTTTCTGTTGTGGTCAGGTTAGCTTATTTACAGGCTTGCTTTGTTATGGGTTATTTTATGCAATAAGAAATTATACGCTTTGTACGAAATGAACAACAAAACTGTTTTTTATGTTGCATTATTTTTGTGTCGTTTTTGCATGAATATTGTTTTTGTAAGGGTTACACTAACTTACGTTTCTTTTATATAATTTTAGAGACAAATCGAGGTATACAAATTGTTACCTAACACGACATACGAATTTAGAATTTGGGCAACCAATCAATTAGGTAGAGGTACAATAACAAACGTATATGGTAAAACATTGAATGAATATATGGAGCAAGGTAAAAATTTTAAATATTCTTATTGTTCATAGTTTCATAGACATTTACTATACACCGTGTTCACCTAGTACGCGTAAGTCCAATATCTAGGTTAATAAAAGATATAACTTAATTTTTTTTCTACAGAATTGCCTACTTTCCCGAGCTGCACAAAATGAAAATATATTTGCATATACAGGGTGTTTAGTTTTTCCCAGGCAGGTACCAACTTAATTTTTTTAAATGGAAACCTATATTTTTTATGGCATTATCGAATACTACGTGAAAAATTAACGGGACTTTGTGTTATGATCCCTATTAGAATATTGATAGTTTTCGAGATAATGGACTTTTCATTTTTTTTCTTATGTTTCATCACTTCTAGTAGTGAAGATGGCTCTTTGAAAAAACGTATCAAAGTTGACCTGCGATATACAACTTTTTCAAATAGAACATCCTGTGTTTTATGATTTCATTAGATGCCTTTCTGTAGACTCTACAATTTTTTAATAGCTTTTCCTATACCTAAGTTGCGTAGTTTTTGCAAAAAAAAAAAAACATTTTTATGTAAAATACCGGTTTTTCGCCCGTTCCTTTGTTGGGAAAAATATTGTAAGGGTATTTATTTTTATTAAATTTATTAGTTGTCTAGCTACACTATTGTACTGAAAAATTTAGATATTTGAGTTTAATAAATGAGTCTATATGGAAAGTTACCAATTATTTGTAAATAAAATAAAAAAAACAAAATCGCTACAAGTGATTAAGAATTAGCAAAATATGGGAAATGTTTGCTAGCAGCACGTATTTACAAAGCAAATAATCCAAATTTACAGATTCCCACTGTTTTGAAAATGAGAAGGAAAAGTTTGAATGAACAGCAAATGCGAATTTTGGGAAAACTACCAGGGGACATGAAAGTAACAACGATAATATTTAGTTAAGAGTTGTGGTGTCTGCTGTTGAAAATCCAAATATTAGTGCCAGAAAATTAGAAGTAACCTTGGAGTTTTCAAAAGTTTGACAAATAAAATATTGAAGAAGTTTCATCCGTATCATATTGAAAATCAAGCACTGTTACCATAGTTAGGAAAGTTATTAGTGAAATTGGAGATTAAAAAATTTGGATGAATAGAATTTTGAAAAAAGAATACTCATAGTCGCAAGCTAACTTTAAATAAATGTTCAAACTGTCCACCGTTGTTTTCTACACAAAGTATTAATCTACTATGAAAATGAATGTGGACATTTCTTAACATTTGAGGCGTTATAGTTAAAAACTCGTTTTGAATCTTTTCTTTTAAGTCTTGAATATCCGTTGGTGGTACTTTGTATACTCGCTCCTTGATATAACCCCACAAGAAAAAGTCCAGACTATTTAAGTCAGGCGAACTGCGGGCCAAAGAACTGGACCACCACGACCTAACCACTGGTTTGGATATACGTGATTTAGATGTTCTCTAACCTGAAAGATAAATAGGTAATAGGAAAAGTATAATAACAATAAAATAATCAGCCAAAGGAACGGGCGCAAATCCGATATTTTACATAAAAATGGGTTTTTTGCAAAAACTACGCAACTTAGGTATAGGAAAAGCTATTAAAAAAATTGTAGGGTCTACAGAAAGGCATCTAATAAAATCATAAAACACAGGGTCCCCCCGGAAAACCCAAGGCAAACTTTGAAAAAGTTTTTGAAAGACCCATCCTCACTCTACAATTCCTGAAAAAAACTCTGTTAAAAAAAAATTAGGTTATTTCTTTTATTAACCTAGATATTGGATTTACGCGCACTAGGTGGACACGGTGTATACAAAATATTGTTACTGAACTAAATTTCTAAGATAACAAATCAGATATTCTGTTTAAAATATACAGGGTGCAACTTTTAGTGGGTGTCATATTTAGAAACAAGTATCAATAGTTTACTTTTCAAATTCCCTCGGGAAAACTTAATTTTTTTTAACCTTTTTTAATAATTTTCCAGCCAACAATGGCGCTTGTAAGTCTTGACATATTTATCTTTATAATTTTACTCCCTTAACAAGTCAAAAATTTGTTTTATTTCATTTAAAAATAACTCTTTTAATGTACATGAAATTTAATATGGGAGAATTGGGAGTTTGGGACAGCCGAATATAAATATGAGCTTATTTTTTACCTAGAATACAGAGGTTGCTGAGAGCACCTGACATGGTCGTTTGTTTTTTGAAACATCACTTTGTTTATTTTGAAAAATATATACTTGTTGCATGTCAGTAAAATGCACCATTCCAGAGGAAAATTTCAATTTTTTGCTTCATTCAACAATAATTACAGAACTAAATTTATTCTTTTTACGATTTATAACAACCTGCCACTGTTAAAAAATCAGTGTTACTGAGATGTAACACAAATTTAAATTTATATTGTAAAAAATTATTTAGCAGAATAGCTATCTATAATTTATTTTATCTTACTTCATTGTAGTTTCCTAATTCAAATATTAAGTAACATTAAAAACAAGTAACTAGTAAATTGTATGCATAATTTTGTGTTTAAATGGCTTTCTTGTTTTTTTTTTACACTGATGGTAGAATATTTATAAATATATTTCAGAATTGGCTCGACATCTGTTTGATGGAGTGGAAAACTTTGATACACGGGTGTGGGCAGTAGCTGTGGGTGTAGTGATGGGAACTTTAATTTTATTAGGATTAGGGACATGCATTTTATTATATCGAGAGTGCCATGTACCTGGGGGTAAGTAAATTTATTTAATTTTTATTCCGAAAACGTCTAGTTTGCAAGACATAAGATTTTCATGTATTATGGAATTTTTTTTATTAATTTTGGATCAATCACGTCATTATTGCACTGACAAAACTGTCTGCCGAAGTTTTATCGCTGGTAAAACTACACATGGTTTTATTAGAATTTTTGTATTGAGAAAGTAACACAAATTATAGTATAGTTTTTCCGAAGTCAGTTGAACATGTAAAAAAACGCCTGGCAATAAAATTTAATGACATAGGCCTAAAAAAGTTTTCTGCTAAAGATAAAAAATTATAATGATTTGTATATAATGTGTAGAAAATTTCTGTTATATGATCATTTGGCCAACAACATATTTTAAATTTCGTTTTGTTCTGTTTCAAAAGGTCTCCAAAATGCCATGTTATAATAATATTTTTTATTATTATTTTATTTTAAACATAATAGTTTTTTATCCATACGTTTTGCTTATAAAGGATCTTATTTTACCAAGTACCTACATAATTATTTCGCTATTTTTTATTATTATTCTTAATATCTGATCTGATAAAGTTAATTGTTTTTTAAATGTATTTATTACTGATTTTATTTTTTTATTCTATACATATCTGATTATTTTATTGATTAAATATAATAAATTTACATGTTATTAATTTTTTTCAGTGATAGAAGAACAGGAAATTATAGAGCTAGTTCCTAATATTATCCTGAACCCAGGATTTGATCCGCACAATCAGAACGATCAAATTCCAGACGAAAATTCTAACAGTGAAACTCCCCTGCGATTGAATAATAATACTGTTGTACAACCCCGCAATACACAAATCGGTTTTATACTGTAATTTCGACTAGACTGATTCTAGATCATACCTCACATCGCATTTATTTAGTCCGCTTTGCGCATTATTTAAAACATTGATGATATTATACGTTGGCTGTTTTATTATTAAGTGATATCGTTCCGATATACCCATTTGAACAATGTGACTTATATAAAGGATGTTTTGCTTAATAATAATTTTTTTCTTAAGGATTCGAGTTATCAAGAATCTCGGTACTACGTAGTTGTACTATATGTAGATATTTGATGCTTCCAAAGACTTAGTAATTTTTTAAACAAGTACTCTATTTACAATAACGCAACATATTTTTATATTGCTAAACTATATCATATTGAAAGTAATAATAGGTACCCACCCGTTTTTAACAGATATTAGTCTATACGTTTTCTAGTATAAACTGCGTTATTTATTGAGTTAAAAATCCCTTTGCTATGTAATTTTATTTCAAAAAAAATTGCAGATAATGTTAACATAATTTTAAATTAGTCGGTGATTAAGCATATCTAATTGAAACACGTAATACTGGCCTAACTCTTCTTAACTGGCTAATAATTTACTCCATCAGGATAAAAAAAAAAAAATTTAAATAATATGGTAAGTCAAAATCGTACAATATCTTATTTAAATATTAAAATGTATTAAACTAGGAATTCATCAACATCATTATACATGGTCCATTCAGCGTTGACAGAATTAACAATATATTGGGATGTTGAATAAGTTCTTGCTGTTCTGTGAAAATCTAGGCTTTATTTAAAAAAGTTGGTAAGAAACACACTGTTATCCATCGCTAGCCGCTATTTTTTCCCATCTTTCTGGCAGCATTTTAATTCCACATTGGAAAAATTACGCATTTTTTGATATCGTAAGAATGGAAGTGCTGCTTAGCCCGGCCATGTGCCATCAATCGGAACAAGTGATAACACAGGGCAATAATTTTCACACCCAAAAACCAGCACCTCACTACCTGAAAGTTTTTGGAGTGCAGAATCCAAATCTGGCATCAGAATTGCTCCTATATGTCACGTTTCCAAGATATACTAACCTAAAAGTGCAAAAAACAAGTTTATATCTCACAGCGAAAAAATTTTTTTTCTAAAAACAAATCATGCCCTCTGAAACTACCACTCTTACCCTTCAGGGCCTTGATTTTTGAAAACAGGAGAACTGATTCTCCAGAGAAAAAATTCACCAGACAAATTTCTCTTAAAAACTTAAATACTTATTTTTGAACGTTGAAGGAATCCAATTCTCTAGAGAATTTAATTTATGCCGTATGTCGAAGATATATTTGCAACTGACCAATCAGCGGGCAGAGTTTNATAATTACAGAACTAAATTTATTCTTTTTACGATTTATAACAACCTGCCACTGTTAAAAAATCAGTGTTACTGAGATGTAACACAAATTTAAATTTATATTGTAAAAAATTATTTAGCAGAATAGCTATCTATAATTTATTTTATCTTACTTCATTGTAGTTTCCTAATTCAAATATTAAGTAACATTAAAAACAAGTAACTAGTAAATTGTATGCATAATTTTGAGTTTAAATTGCTTTCTTGTTTTTTTTTTACACTGATGGTAGAATATTTATAAATATATTTCAGAATTGGCTCGACATCTGTTTGATGGAGTGGAAAACTTTGATACACGGGTGTGGGCAGTAGCTGTGGGTGTAGTGATGGGAACTTTAATTTTATTAGGATTAGGGACATGCATTTTATTATATCGAGAGTGCCATGTACCTGGGGGTAAGTAAATTTATTTAATTTTTATTCCGAAAACGTCTAGTTTGCAAGACATAAGATTTTCATGTATTATGGAATTTTTTTTATTAATTTTGGATCAATCACGTCATTATTGCACTGACAAAACTGTCTGCCGAAGTTTTATCGCTGGTAAAACTACACATGGTTTTATTAGAATTTTTGTATTGAGAAAGTAACACAAATTATAGTATAGTTTTTCCGAAGTCAGTTGAACATGTAAAAAAACGCCTGGCAATAAAATTTAATGACATAGGCCTAAAAAAGTTTTCTGCTAAAGATAAAAAATTATAATGATTTGTATATAATGTGTAGAAAATTTCTGTTATATGATCATTTGGCCAACAACATATTTTAAATTTCGTTTTGTTCTGTTTCAAAAGGTCTCCAAAATGCCATGTTATAATAATATTTTTTATTATTATTTTATTTTAAACATAATAGTTTTTTATCCATACGTTTTGCTTATAAAGGATCTTATTTTACCAAGTACCTACATAATTATTTCGCTATTTTTTATTATTATTCTTAATATCTGATCTGATAAAGTTAATTGTTTTTTAAATGTATTTATTACTGATTTTATTTTTTTATTCTATACATATCTGATTATTTTATTGATTAAATATAATAAATTTACATGTTATTAATTTTTTTCAGTGATAGAAGAACAGGAAATTATAGAGCTAGTTCCTAATATTATCCTGAACCCAGGATTTGATCCGCACAATCAGAACGATCAAATTCCAGACGAAAATTCTAACAGTGAAACTCCCCTGCGATTGAATAATAATACTGTTGTACAACCCCGCAATACACAAATCGGTTTTATACTGTAATTTCGACTAGACTGATTCTAGATCATACCTCACATCGCATTTATTTAGTCCGCTTTGCGCATTATTTAAAACATTGATGATATTATACGTTGGCTGTTTTATTATTAAGTGATATCGTTCCGATATACCCATTTGAACAATGTGACTTATATAAAGGATGTTTTGCTTAATAATAATTTTTTTCTTAAGGATTCGAGTTATCAAGAATCTCGGTACTACGTAGTTGTGCTATATGTAGATATTTGATGCTTCCAAAGACTTAGTAATTTTTTAAACAAGTACTCTATTTACAATAACGCAACATATTTTTATATTGCTAAACTATATCATATTGAAAGTAATAATAGGTACCCACCCGTTTTTAACAGATATTAGTCTATACGTTTTCTAGTATAAACTGCGTTATTTATTGAGTTAAAAATCCCTTTGCTATGTAATTCTATTTCGAAAAAAAAATTCCAGATAACATAATTTTAAATTAGTCAGTGATTAAGCATATCTATTGAAACATGTAATAATATGGTTGACCGGCCTAACTCTTCTTAACTGGCTAATAATTTACTTCATCAGGATAAAAAAAGATCTAAATAATATGGTAAGTCAAAATCGTACAATATCTTATTTAAATAATAAAATGGATTAAACTAGGAATTCATGAACATCATCATACATGTTCCATTCAGCGTTGACAGAATTAACGATATAATGGGAGGTTGAATAAGTTCTTGCTGTTTTTTCGTGAAAATGTATGCTTTATTTAAAAAAAATTGTAAAAAACATGTCGCCATTATCATCGCTAGCCACTACTTTTTCCTATCTCCCTGGTAGCATTTTAATTCCACATAAAAAAAATGACATCTTTTGAAACTATCCACGAGTCGACCCATTTTTTGGTATTGTAAGAATGGAAGTGCTGCTCAGCCTGGCCATGTGCCATCGATCGGAACAAGTGATAACACAGGGCAACAATTTTCATACCCAAAAACCAGCACCTCACTTACCTGAAAGCTTTTGGTGCGGAGAATCCAAATCTGGCATCAGAATTGCTCCTATACGTCACGTTTCCAAGATATCCTTACCTAAAAGTGCAAAAAACGGGTTTATATCGCAGTGCAAAAATTTTTTTTTCTAAAAACAAATCATGCCCTCTGAAACTACCACTGTTACCCATCAAAACGCTTTTTTCAGATTTGAAAAATCTCTTTTATTCGCGGAGATATCATTGAATGAAGTTAGGTACTTTTAGCGTTTTTATAACAGAGGTACTAAAATTGAAAAAAGTTCTTAAGAAAGCGGATATTTACATGTTTTTTGTGTCGCCCAATCTGGATCTGACCTCCAAATTATTCTATCACTTTAGGATTCTGAGATTTCCTAACCTAAGTACCACTGTTATGAAAACGCTAAAGTACCTAACTTCATTCAATGATATCTCCGCGAATAAAAAAGATTTTTCAAATCTGAAAAAAGCGTTTTGAAGGGTAAGAGTGATAGCTTTAGAGGGCATGATTCGTTTTTAGAAAAAAAATTTTCGCTCTGTGATATAAGCTCAAATATAACAAAAAACTTGTTTTTTGCACTTTTAGGTTAAGATATCTTGGAAACGTGACGTATAGGAGCAACTCTGGTTCCGGATTTGGATTCTGCGCACCAAAAACCTTTGGGCAAGTAAGGTCTGGTTTTTGGGTGCGATTTTTCGTCAAATTTTATTGCCCTGTGTAATCGGAAGGGGCGATGTTGAGTGAGGCTTCCCATTTAACGTTTCCAAATAGGCTTTCACCTTTATTGCAACAAGTGGCCGTTGCTGCAAAATCACTTTGTCATGTCTCTGCTTGCACAGCGACTGGTCTTCCTTCAATACTTGGCTCAATCACATCAATTGTAGTCGAAAGCGATCTCCCATGATGGTTTCATTCCATTTGAGCAGCTCATAATAAACTACACCCAGCTGATCCCACCAAATGCAGAGCAGAAACTTGGAATAATGGGTATTCGCCTTTGCCAACTATGTTAACGCATAGCCGGGCTTGCCCCCATGATTTTCTTCGCTTAGGATTATCGTAGCATATCCATTCTTTTCTGCCGTTGAAGCAGCTGTTTGCACTTGCAAAGACGCCCTTTGACATCTCTTGGCTTCAACTCGAACGGCACCCAACGTCCTTGATTTTAAAACATTCTTAATGCTGTAAAATGTTTCGAAACTGTTGTGTGATCAACTGCTAATGATTCTGCTACTTCAGCTAGCATCTGACATGAGTCTTCATGAAGTAATGCCTCCAATTCTTCATCTTCAAACTGTTTCGGTGTGTCAAAGCGTTCTTTATCTTATCTGTATCAAAATCACTATTTTTGAAGCGTCTAAACCAATCTCTACATGTTGTTTGCGACAGAGCGTGGTTGCCATATGTCTCAACGATTCTGTGTGCTTCAGCTGTAGATTTCTTTTGAATAAACTGAATTCTCTTTTTTGGCACGAAATTCAACATGTTTAACACTAAAAAAGGTAGTTTTGCCATTGTAAACTACACACTTGCAGTTCTAGTAATGCCGTCTGTTGGAAAACAGCGACATCT